ATATAACTGCAAAAATTATATAAATTTATATTTAACAATTAATTAATTATAAAATTATTTTTCTATTTTTTATTTTATTTTTTTATTTAAAAGACAGAATGGTACACTATCTCTTTACTGGGAAGGTTTTGCCTAGGAGCTTTTAGCATACGTCTCAGTACAATATTCTGATAAGCTTGAAGTTTTCTAATGGTGGATGTAGCAGTATTGCACTAAATAAAACAGCCATAAAATAGTTTAAATCTAATAATTTGCTTATAAAGAAGAGTTTTATTTTATTTATTAAACATAACGAAACAATAATTTCTTTTATCTCACAGACGAGGCTAGTATGACAATTTTTTTTGACAAAAAATCTAGCTACTCTGATAGTTTACCTGATACAAATACACATTTCATAAACGTAGGCAGTGGGTAAGAGAGGAGCCACATTAGAAGAATTCTGTCTTTATATAAATTGACGAGCAAACTAAAAAAAGTTACTTTATTGAAATAATTAACAATTATTCTTATTTTAAAACTAAAAAGTGAGAATCAGATATGAATTGCTAAATTGCACAAGTACCTGCAAATTGAAAGACCCAAACCTTCGCCATCGATATATAGCATTTAACGAAACGATGATGTAATAAAAACTCATGGACCGTGGTTTTATTATTTTATATTACAAAATACAACGAGTACTTCGGTCACACTATCATTTTACCTCATATACCCTCATTTACTAGATCCATGTCACATATATACATAAATGTAATAGCAGTAAATTTTATAAACTATAAAGAGAAATAACTCTACAATAGTAATAAACTAAACTCAATATACCGAAAACAATTAAACAATTTCTGTATGAATTTTTAGATCGTAGCAGATTAAGGCATTACCGAAATGTACAAAGTAATGAACCTGTCGATAAAGATCTAAAAATGTGTATGAACTAAAAAAGAATATACAGGTCTTCAATTGTATACATAAAATCGAGCTTGGTCACATTTCCAAAACGTGTAGACCTTGAAATATATATGAAGTATCATGTTAATAAAGAACTTATATATATACGAACTGATACACAGATAAATGTTAAATTGTATACATAATATCTAAACACTACCAATACATATAAGAGATTTAAGTCTATACAAAGTAAGTAACCTGACGATCAAGATCTTAAATGTTCACGAACTAAAGTATTAAGAGATCTTTAAATATAAACAAAGTAACCAACCTAATGACCTTCTCAATACATGAAGCTCTTGAAATCTATAAGAGCATGTAATAGTAACGAGCCTATAGCTAAAGATCTTAAATGTAGACAAACTAAAGAATATATAGATCTTGTATTTTATGCATAATAGCGAACCTGGTGACATTTCCAATACATATATATATTTTAATGTTTCTAAAATAACGAATCTGGAAGGCCTTCCCAACGCAACTAGATCCAAATAAAAAGTTATATTAACTTTCATTACAAGTAAAATATTATTTTATTCAAATTTTGTATTTAAATTAATTAAATATTAAAATCTTATATTATTATTCAAAATTTAAATAAATAATAAATTATTGTAAGTAAGTTAGTATTATAAAAATTAAAATATATAAAAATACTATTATATATTTATATTATTATATATATTATATTGTTATTTATATTATTTTTATATTATTATATTTATTATTTTTATATTATTAAGTTATATTTTTATTCAGACAAAAAATAATGTTAAAAATTATTTGTATACATAATTATTTGTATAAATTTCTCTTTGTAGTAATTTTTTTTTATTAAATGCATAAAATTTATAAAATATACTTAAATAATAAATTCCAAAATATATTTTAATCTTCTTAAAACTTACCTTATTTATTTAAATAAAATGAATAGAAACTAAGTCTTCTTCCAACAAAGTTGTGGCTTGAGTGTACCTGGGGTTTCCCTTTTCGCGATTTAATTATATTGTTTTTGCATCTTAACTTAACAGAAAAGTTTTCAAAACAAAATTAAGTAAATATGAAGATGAAAATGATAAACTTTAAGTTTCGAGAACAAAAGTCGCGTAGGAGCTGCACAGCGAAATAGTTTGATAATCTTTAGGATTTGTTTTGGTATATAATCGGATTAATTTATACTTGCACTCGTCAAGCAAACCACTCAATGGAAATTTTATATTATTTATATTTTTATGTAATTGTGTGTAAGTTTAGTGGATGTAAAGGTTTATGTCAGGATTAAGGTGCACACATGAGAAACGGAATATTTAATATGGAATTACATTTTCATTTTGAGCAGAGCGTCAACTAAAATTAATTTATATTAAAAAAAATTATTAATTATTTCCTTAAATAATCAAGTGTTCAACTCAATTTAATACAAAAATATTATTGGTTAAAGATTTTGGTAAACAAAATTTTTTAAAAAAACATTTCATATAATTTAATTATATTTTTTATTTTAAATGTCTTATATTAATTAATTTTTTAAAGATTTATTTTACTGTTTTTCGCATTGTTTCAGAAACAATTTTTTTTTTTTAATTAAGAGTTTTTTAATTACGCTAGAAAGCACATATCATTAAATCCAATAAACGCCATACAGACGGTGTATTTATTTATTTTTTTATATTTTTGTATCTGATTAAAATTTAAAATATTTAAGATATATTAATTTTTTTAAAAATTTGCTAATATTTATGATATATCGTGTTTATTTTTATTTAAAAAAAACAATTACGTTTATTTTTTTTCACTTAAGATTTCTGCTTTTCCGTTAAAGGTCCGTTAACAACTGAGCTTAAAATGCATTGGTGGCGCACATTTTGTAGACAAAAAAATATCCCAAATCATTTATAATATCCCATAACAAACTTAAACAGCTGTTGGCTGCTCCTTGCATTTTAGTGTTTAAGTCCTTTTTTTGCATTAACAAAAAGGGTTAGCGCATGCGTTTGTGTTGATATAGCGTTTTGGCGCTAAAATGCCGATTGTGTGTATATATGTGTGTGTGATTATTTTCTTATGTCGCCCACACTATGCTCAAGCGAAATAGCTTCATTCATTATTACAGTGTTTACGATAATAGAATTTTAAATATATAAAAAACAATGTAAATAATCCATCAAATATAAATAAAGTGAAAAGGCAATAAAAAAAATTGCTTGTAATTATTTATTGTAATTTTTTTCATTGTTGGTTAAATTTTTTTACACGTGCGTTCAAAAATATGCAACATATTTTTAGAAACCTTTAACCACTATTTAATATTCAATATGCACTTATTCATACACTTCAGATGTGTGGTTGTGTATATTCTTTTAAAATGCACAGTGGGCCATATTAGTATTTAAGCAAGTAAAACAGAATTTCAATTGTTCCCTGATATTAGTGTTCCTCTTGTAGCTGCTTAACTGACAAACATAAATATCGAGAATGTTAAAAGAAAGCATGGTAAGATGAAGATTCTTGTCAGAAGACTTAACTGGTTTAACTTGGACAATCAAGACAAAATATTTAGACTCGTTCAAGTCAACTGTTTCAATTAAAGCGGTATCAACTCAACTCTGCTATGGTATCGATGCTAACAGGTCACTACCTATTAGAATAGCATGGTCTGTAGATGAGAAGGAAACCGTTGTCAATTTCATGTGTAGTGCACATCATTGGCTAAAAGAATATTTATTAGGACTGTAGTCAAATGTAAAGATTTGTCAAGTTGGTTTTCTTTTAACCGAGTGAGAGAAGTGCGCCTTTTCAAAATGATACTGTTCGACCGTAAGGCACTTTTTCCCTTAAAATATTTCTTTAGTTCTGTTATACTCCAAAGGCTCTTCAAAGTGCCATGGTACATCCTCACGAATAACATGCTAAGAGACCTTGAAATAGATCCGGCCAAAAAATACATAAGGGACAGAGCTCTGAAGCTATATGCGAAAACCGACAGGCTGTCCTACTTAGTACTATCTAATCTCAGAGTAATCACTAACCGCACGGAGCGGTACGCAGATCTTAGATCAGTCATTGAATAATCACGAAGATTATGAGGAATACTCAAATTAGTCAGTGAGATGTGTGGAACTCTGTAGAAACTCCCCAGCTATCAAAAAGTAAAAGTGCCCAGATGCACTAACTCGGAAAAGTCTCAACATTACATTACAAATGGTTTCTCATCCATGCATTTACATGAATGCTACTCCATTCAATGACACAATCTATGAAGCTTGTAAATTGTAATTTTAAATTTTTCCACATAGTTTACTAATATGGTTTCCAAATAAATATATTGAAAAAGACTATAATGTATATATACCATGAATATATATGTTAGAACACTGATACTTATTAAAATATAAAAAACATGCATTACAGTTTATAGAACATTGTTTATTTATTAGACCTTTTTCTAATGATCATACGACACAAAAGTAAATTATATTTAAATTATAAAAAAAAATAACTATTTATAAAGTAAAGTAATTAAATTATGAAACTGCACAAAAAGTTGAAATTCCAATGGAAGTGAGCAACACCTGGTAGCTTCGGCATGTAGCCCTGAGACATTTAGTCTAAATAGTAACAAATTATAAATTGATTAAAAATATAGGATAAAATTAGAATATAGACAAATTTTAGCAAATTTAAATAAGTAAATGATACAACATTTAATTGTACATTATTTATAATTCCACAAAAATTGTAGTTTTTAATAAAAGTAACTTCTATGCAAATTAACTAAATTATTTTGTATAATTTTATGTGTTTAGTCTATCTTAAAGTAATTAATGCAATTCGTTTTAAAGCATGTTTTGCTTTTACCTAAATATTAGTTTATTTGTAAATAAACTTATACATATTTTGCATATATGTACATATATACATACATATGCATTAACATTATTAGACGTTAGTCGTTAATATTTCTAAATAAATATTACTTTACATATATGCACATATTTATAAATAGATAACTATTATTAAAGTTAATTTTACTTAAAATCTACTATGGTTTATAAATTATAATTTGAGATATCTCGTATAATGAATAAATTGCCTAACTTATCTCCTTCAATAGTTTCGTTTTGTACATCAGTTACCCAAACAACATTCCCATCTTCGCTGATAGCATTATCGGTTGAACTATTTGGAATCAAAATTGCTCCCATACTACTATCTATATCACTATCAGTTTCCTCTAAAATATATTCAATATTTTCATCCAGTTCTTCTTCTACGATTTCATACTGGCTATTTTGGTTTTCCATATTATTGGTGGCAAAACTTATTTGAGGTAAGTTTTCATTTTCATATTCAACTTTGCTTTTCATAATATTAATTGGGATTGGCTGCAGTTCGTTATTTGGTTCGTCATAAATTTCTAATTCATTTTTTTCATCATCACTAGCAACCATGATGAAAAATTCTTCCTTAGGTTTCATTTTAACTTGTTTTACTGCTTTTAGTTTCTTCGAGCTATGGTCACTATGCTCCTCTCTGATATGCGCTCTTAATAATGATACTCTTGTGAATTGCCTGTTACATTTTGAACACTTATGTATTCGATTTGTGAAATGTGTTTGGCGATGGCAACGTAAATTTGATTTTTTTATGAATTTTGCATCACACAAGTCACAAGCATGAGGTAAAATTCCTTCGTGTTTATAGCGATGTTCCTGTAGATGCGGCTTTTGTCGAAACCGTGAGAAGCATATATCACATTGATAAGGTTTCTCACCGGTATGTATACGTAGATGAGTTGTCAGCGCAGCATTCGTACGGAACGTCTTACTACAAAGTGTACAAGGATGTGGACGTTCCATAGTATGAGTCAGTAAATGATTTTTATGAGTAAAATGGTGTTTCGAGATTTTCCCACAAATAGTACAATGATAAACTTTTTTATCACCAATTAGCACTTTTTTTGACGGGCAATCTGAAATATTAGTCGTACTATTAATACTAATATTCTTTATATTTCTATCTATATGATCATCATTACTTGTTATGTTGCTTGTCTGTTTTGAATTGGAATGTCTTTTCATATGAGATTTCAAATACCGTTCCGATTTAAAACTATAAATTCATAAAGCAAATATTAATAAATGATATAATACGTAAAAGAAACTAGAAGAAATACCTTGAGGTACATTGCGTACATGGAAAGTTTCGATCCGTCTTATGGATGAGCATATGAGTTTTTAAAATATCAGGACGACAAAATTTCTCTGAACATACTGTGCAACAGTATCTGCGTATATTTTCATGTGCAGAGCGTATATGACGCGTTAAATTGTAGGCAATATTATAAAGGCGGCCACATTCAGGACAAGGATATGATTCTCTTTTTTTGTGAATTTCCTTATGTTTTGTGAGGGATGCTTCTTTTAAGAAAAATTTGCCGCACTCTTCACAAGCATATCCATCATTACCGTGTTCCTTGATGTGACTAAGATATTCAGCAAATGATTCGCAGAACTGGTCGCAAGTTTTACACATAAACACTTTTTCAGTCTACCAAAGAAAATTTAGAAAAATTAAATTAAGATTAAAAACTTTAAAAGGGGGTTTTCAAAACTAATTAAAAGTTCATATGAAAACCTTTAGCTAAGAAATATTTAAAATGTTTTAGTAGACGTAAACCCAAAAACTCCTGCATAAGCCACTTATACGTTCTCATTATCTCAATCAACTCTAGAAACGTTTATATAAATTTTTCTAATTCTTTACCTTATTATTGGCATTTTCAGTAGATGGTGTTGGTGATGGTGATACAGACTCAAGTATGTCTGCTTCATCCAATTTTTCCACTTTTATTATCTCATCATCACAAGTAAAATATTCTGATTCTTCTTCAATAAAATCAGCAAAAAACCGTTCCTCGTAAATTTCATCGACATTATCTTCCGAGAAGGTCAACACCACAGGTTTAGCTGTTTGTACATTATTTGATGTGTTGCTATTAACTAGATCCTTTTTCACATCTATTGTTGTGGTTTGGACATTATTTTCTTCAACAGATTTTTCTAATTGCAATTTTAAGCGTATTTGTGTCATCTCCCCCTGCTTACGCAGTCGATAAGATATTTCAACGTTTTGTTCACATTTTTCGCAAATATGTTTTGGTAATTGATCGTTTTTCAGTATCTATAAAATAAGTTTTTAAACTCTATAATTTTAATAAATATATAAATTATATTAAATAATTGAGATATTTACAATTATACTTGTGCACACCCTTAGCTTCTCCAGAAAAAACTCTCCCATATCTTCAATATATTTAAGATTTTCACAGCCACCGCAAACGCGGCATACTTGGCTAAGTGCAAAATCTACTTGCGACATTCTGTTATCATCAATATTTTGCTAATATTTTTTCACATTTATAACAAAATCACAATCAATGAAAAAATTGCAAAATTACAAATACTAAGTGTTGATGTACTCAGCTGGCTGTCAAAATATCTGACATGGGCTATGTTTCATGTTTTGACATATTCACTTTACATTGATTAGAGTTTACCACTCTAAATAACATTTATAAATATTATTTTGAACTGTCACTAAACGGTCGTTGTGCTGTGCATATTGGTTATTTTCGTTTAAGACCATATTATGTCTGTTCCGAAAGCTACTCGTAGTAAAACACAAGGAAAGTATAAACTGAGAGCGTAACACAAATAAAGTGCCAAATTACGCTCTTTACACAGATTTCAATGAAACAGCTTTGTATAAAATCTGGTAAAATCACTAGTGCCGTGCAAATAAACCACACAAAAATTTAAATTCAAACCAAAATAGCTGATTCACACATCACAAAAATTTTACTTGAAATAAAATGTACGAGTAAAGTCTGTGCAACATTTTAAAATTTAGACAGGGATGTTACGCTCTCTCAGTTGCTCTCAGTTACTTGAAAATTTGCTGGTGAAACGCATTTGTGTATACACAGTGTTACTCAAAGTTACTATGAGTAACTTCGATGAGTTAAACATAAGTTATATCAATATTAAGACTTAAGTTACTACTATTAAATCGGCTCTTTTATGTTGTATTTATTAAATTGTTATTAAAATAAATTACAGATGAGCTAACAGAAGTTCACTTAGTTCGCAACGTTTACTAATTTAGAATAAATTTTAAACCCGTAAAAATTGTTAATGCGATTTTAATAAAAATAGAACAAAAAAAAGAACAATGTTTAAGAAGACTTTTTAAGGTGCCATGGTACATTAGGACGAATGACATCCCCTCAGGGACCTCAAGATTGATCCAATCAAAAAATACATAAAAGTTGAAACCCTTAAACTGTTTACGAAAACTAACAGGCTTACCAACACTGCATTATCGAATCTCAGAATGGTTACAACAGGCTCCTTGAAAAGGTATGCAGATCTGAGGTCAGTTATTGCTTAGTCTGATAAAGTAATAAACAAGAACCCAGTCAAGGCGTGGAGAGGGGTTATGAAGGAACCTCGCAGTTAGTAGAGAGTAAAAGTGCTCAAGTGCACTGACTTAACTAGCCTAAACATAATAATAAAATAAAATACCTAAATACAGCGAAAGGTTCATCCTAAAAAGTATTTACAAAGATATTTTTGTAAATGATTTGCTTGTGTTAGAATGAAACTCTATGTTGAAAACAAATAAATTTATACGATATAAATTTATTCGGTAAAATTTTCTTGTAAATTTATCAAGTTTGTGTAAAATATTTTTCATACAAAATTTGACACTTCATTTACCAATCAAATAAATTTATACGTTTATAAGGCATTTATCAGTTTAGATGAGTACCTCTAATGTTTTTATTTTATAAATATATTTTATTTAAATAAAGAATAAAATTTATATGAAATATATAAACAATATAAAATATTTAACGAAAGAAAAAAAACCATTTTTAATTTAGTGATTAGTGATATTTCAAAATTTTAATCTGTTCTCTGCTTCATCATATTATATTCTTCGCTACTTTATTTTCATCTCTCATCTTCTGATATTCAATGGTGCTCTGATTACGTACATTTGCCAGCTGCTGACTATATTCCCTGATTTGACTAAATCCTTCATGCGTTTGTGTAATATGTTTGCCCAACAACTGCTGGCTTTCGAAATATATACTGCAATATTTACATTCATACAGAGATTCAACAGAATGAATAGTTAAATGTCGCATCAGATTTTCTCTGAAAATATTGGTGTTTTTTAAATTAATAATATAAATATTATCTCACCAAAATAAAAAGTTATATTAACTTACTTAATAGCAAAGCATTTGAAGCACATACAACACTGATACTTCTTGGCACGAAAAGGTTGAGTAGCTGATGTGGCCGAAACATTTATAACATGCGTCCCATCATTATCAAGCATTTCATTTTCTGCACTATCATTCAACAGCATTTCTTCATCCAACAGTTCTAAGAATGTTTCATCGCTACCAGTCGAACCGGTAGCCTGACATTGAGAATCCTTGATTTTATGATTGTTTACATGTTTTTTCATGTGCAGTTGTAGGTTTTCTTTGGTGTACATGTCTTCTTTACAAATCGAGCACATATGTGTCTCAATTTCTCCATCATCCATAACAATCGTATGATGCCTCAGAATGTGTACCTAAAAAAATTATAGTCGATCAAATAAGGTTGCACGTGTCACATTAATTACTTACTTTTAATCCATCTTTTTGTCTGAAAGATGTACCACAATGTACACATGCAAAAGGTTTATCTCCACTATGTCTACGTTTGTGAAATACTAAACTTTTACTCTGTGTAAATCCTCTATTGCATACTTCACAAACATAGGGCTTTTCACCAGTATGCGTGTACATGTGATGCTTAAGTGAACCATTTTGTGTAAATCCTTTACCACATATGTTGCACGCATAAGGCTTCTTACCGTCATGTGTGGCCATATGTCGGTTTAGATTTGTTTTAGTCGTATAATCCGTGTTACATTGCTCACAATAGTATCGTATCTTATTAGAGCTTTCATTAGAATTTCTTCCACTTAGTTGATCTGTGCGTATACGTGTTCTACGTAACTTGAAATTATTACTATTTTTTTGTGGAGTCGTATTTATATTCGTACGTAACTTTACCGGATGTGGTTCTCTACCCAATTCTGTACCCATCACAGATGTAGAATTGTTTACTTTTGAAGGACGCAATTCAATGCTAGAACTATTTAAATATTCCACATCCAAAATCATATCATTCATATCTTCCATATCCATATAATCATCTTTATTTTCACTATCATCCAATATTTCTTCATATTCTTTTAAATACCCATCACCATCCACCGGTATAGCCTCTGCATCGGTTTCTATATTTTCATTCTCTGAAGTATCATCAAGCAATTCTAAAACGCGTTCAGTATCATCAATATTAAACTTATCGGTACGGTGGACTTTTGAAATTCTTAGATGAGTAGTGTCATCAATTCCAATTTCTTTTACATTTGAATTATCAACTTCAAAATGTTCGTTTAATCCAGCATTTTGTATTTGATATTCTATTTCATCATCATCAACTTCATATTCCCGTTTTAACGTTTGTTCTGTTGAAACTGTTTTAGGTTCTTCTTTAATAGTAATTAAAACGGATTTACTCTTATCAATATTTGTTCCTAAATTTAAGCTCTTCGAAATTGAGGTTGATGGAGTAACTGCTGAGATTTCATCAGGGTCTATAAAAAATTTGTCTTAATTATATAATAACATAAAAATTTATTAAAAAAGTATTTTTAAGGTATTCTCTATAATGTACTTTAGAATATTCTTAATATAAAAAATATATTAATAATTGTATATAATATATATTTTATTTTCATTGGAACCAATATATACATTGGATAACATAACAGATCCAGATTAATATTCAAGTACTATATTTATAGGTTCGGTTGGGTCTAAAAAGATCTAGACCACCTATGGATCCGTTGCATTAGCCTAGATCTTTTATTTTAAGATGTTGCAGCTTAAACCAGACAGGAAAACATAATTTCCCATTTTCTTTATACAAACTCTGCTCTTTGGAGATAGAGAGCAGCTTCTTCTGGTAAGACAAACTGCTCTTTAACAACTAATAATGAAGTTTAGGAATATTAAAATTTCTGAAGCTGTACAGACTGAATCTAATGATGCTGTGGAAGCAAACAACGTGGCAACAAAACGGTGCGAAATCGCTAATTGGGCTTTAAAAAAGTCGCCACTGAAATCAGCCAACCAATATAATAAATTTATATAGAAATATTAATTGTGAAGTATAATAAAACATTGTTGTTACCTTACCTTCATCTTCACGCTCATTTAGTATTGCAACACAATCTTCTATATCATCATCTGATACCATTATCAAAGCTGAATCATCTAAAGCTTCTGCTATTTTAGGATTTAACCTGGTTACTTCTTCAAATTCATTCGAAACCTTTTTTAAAAACTGTTTGAGTGCTTTTTGTGATCCATAGGCCAACTGTGTAAAATCGAAAGCAATATTCAAACGATTTATGCATTTCACACATATTTTCGTTGGCAGATTATCATTATCAATTATCTGTTGAAGTATACAATTGATTATATATAGAAAATAAACTAGATATAGATTAAAATTATATTTTATAATTTTTATATATATAAAAAGACGTTTTCATCTCATAGACTGTGGTACACCCAGTTAATAATGAAAATATCTTCATCAAAAGCTCTTATCTTAGTAATAATGAATATATAACTTTGTAATTCATTTATAAATAAGATATAATAGAAGTTTCTTTTACACTTTAAAGCGGATAGCCGCCGATAGAACACAAATATAACAATAAAGTGAAATAGTGGCCCTCACACTTTTTTGTCGAATGATACGTGTGTCTTTGTGCTCGACTGCTCCTGGAAACAGAAAAAAGGACGACAAAATCTTTCACAACATAAACTATATCTACAAATTTAAACCCAATTAATTTGTTGTTATATTTCACAAAAAGAGTTATTGTCTTACTATTTTTGGTGACAATATCGCTTCCCACTACCCACATCCGTCTCCTATCAAAAGTACTTAATTATACCTTCCTTCAGAATTATAACACCTTCCTTCATATTTCCCTACTACTCAATCTCTTATGCCATCAAAAAAGGAATAATGTTTCCTTTTCTTGGAAACATTATTCTCCATTATTTATACCTTATTATACTTCAAAACGTCATTATCATTTTTAAGTCCCCACTACACAATCTCTTAACCCGTCAGAGTGGTTACATTCTACTTCTCATTCGTCACCAATTATTCTCAATCCTCATCACTCCCCACCATTACCACACTATTAACTAAACAGGCCATTTGTGCTTTCTCTAGTTAGTTTTTCCAGAATTGGCAGAGCTTTATCTCTATCGATAATTCAGACGTACCACTCACACATGTTATATGTATATATACATATATGTTAGATAAATATGTCGTAGCTTTCTGAATGAGATTCACGCTTGTTAGTGTAACCAGAACTAGCAGTACATTACCATAAGCCACAACTCAATATTTCCTCTCATGATCTCAGCCACTCTTCTTCTGATTTCCAACCAATTATTCTCATATCTCAACACCCTTCGCGATTGGTACACTAGTATTTAAATAGCATGAGTAGGTTTTCTGCTGGTTAGTTTTTCCAGAACTAGTAGACCCACATATAGAGCCACATGTATAGATACTTTACATTAAATGGATGTCATAGCATTAGACTTTTTTCTGCTTGTCGAGTTTTCGAGAATTGGCAAGCTCTAACAAAGAATCACAGCAACACTACCATAACACTAGTACCCATTTTATGCACATATATATAACATAGACTCCTTTGGCGGCACGTTTAATAGAAGACGGGCTGTTAGGCCCAAAGAAGTGGGCCTATACCAAACCATTTTATGTATACCAAATTATAAAAATTATAATACAGAAATTAATTACTTTCTTATTATATTAAAATTTACTTTCCTTATTAGTAACATTTAATAAATGAAATAATAGAAGCAACAATCGCAGTCCATTTAATTCAAAACCAAAATAACGAATACAAAATCATTTTGACTAATTTTTAAAATGAAAAAAGTTTAAAACTTTATAAATAATATCAATCTTTATCTATCAATCTCTCCAGTATAAATCTGCATTTAGATATCCAAATCCACATCCATCATTCTTGCTTCTTATCCGGCACTGTTTGTGCAATCCAACTCAAATATGGTACGTTGCCTTTCTCAATAGGCAATGTTATAACCTCAGCCACACTGTATGAATGATTCTCACGCACCCATTTTATAAGCTCATCCAAGCGGCTAGTACGTGTCTTAATCATCATTAAATATTCACTATCTTCATTGACTTTTCCTTCCCACATATAAACCGACTGTATATTGGGTATAATATTGACGCAGGCTGCCAATTGTTTTTCTACTAAGCCTCGCGCTAATTTCTTTGCTGTATTTTCATCTGGCGTAGTGACAAACGCTACAGAACTGGTACCGGAGGTATAAGTTTCAGCTGCAGGTGACGAAGTCATCTCTTTTGGACAATTTGATGCAAAATTATGTTTACTTGTGCAAGAATTTATTGTTTCACCGGCAACCACCAAAGAAGACTTTGTTCCAATGGTAATAAATGGACGCGCAAGCAGTAAATACGAGGATACACAATATAGATGTTTTATAATGTGCATTGAGTTGTTTACTATGATTATTGTTTACTCTAATTAGTTGATATTTTTCTTTTTTGCTTTTAATAACTCTTCTCAAAATAGTTTAGCAAAAAAATGTATGTTTGACAGAATGTGGAGACTTGTGTTTCTTATTATGAAACGAGTAATCATTTTATACGTAACTTATTCAAAGCATAATCAACTACTATTTTATACATAAAAAACTATTACATAGTATATAATATCCAATTATCATTATTAAAACTTCAATTCAGAATCTTTTTACCTATATTAAATCTTAAAATATGTATATAAGATCCATTTTTAAAATTTATTTTATATGATTTTTCAACTAAACTAAATTTGAAAAAATAAACACTTGAATTATATTACGTTTACATTGTGAGTTTAAGTAAACGAGATTAAATTAATCTGCATTTTTATAAAAATTTGGTACAAAAAAAAAGGAAATATAAATTTAATAAATAGTTTTATAACAATAATTTAACAAATTTTAGTTGTAATTATGTACAGAACTATTATTAAACAAATGTATTAAAAATTTACTCATTCGGCATTTTTAAGTTTTCAACGTTTAAATAGATTTTGACACTTCTTTTCCAATTCCTCTAAGATCGTAAAAAAATTCACAATATTAAGCCATTTGCAGAATTGCACAGAAAAATAATCACCATTTCTCCGGAGATAAAAGACTAATATCGACCAAAAGGAGATTAACTTTTGTCTGGGAAATCTGACATTAAACGACGAGTTTAGTACTTTAATCTCGATTTAATCTACTTTAATGTACTTTTAATCTCACAATAGAAACGCCTCATTACTTAAATGACACATCACTAAGAGCATAAATTACTAAATTTGCAGAAACCAAAATAAATTGTGCTGACACTATTTTTATCACTTTATTTTACTTTTTACGATCCATTTATTTATGTCAGATTAAACTCGCACACATACACACACATTCTATATATATATATATATAACAACAATTAATGTTACATTTTAATAACCACTAAAAGTAACCAAAAAACTACACATCTCTAAAACTCTCCGTTGTGGTAAAAGATTTATCAAATCTCTACACACTTTCTATTACATTGATATTTTTCTTCTAGTATAATAGATTAATATTTATTACAAAAATTTACCGCCAGACGTGTTGTTAGATAAAACTTCTTTCGTAAATCTATATGCAATAACAAATCCTTGCCTGCAGCTGAATTCAGACACACGCGACAAACATTTATATTTAATTCGAAATCCATTTTTCAAGAAAATGCATTAAGTGCTCACGAATATTCAGTGTTCCGACTTATACTGAAATGTCAAATTAGTTGTAATGTGTTTGCAAGATGCTGTCAGATATTAAGGAACAACAGTTCCCACATTTTATGGAAGATAATTTTTAAAAAATAAATTTCAAATTTATTTAACAGTTAAATAAATAATATTGTGTTAAAACTTGCTTAAGTCAGTTTTAAAGTGAGTAATGCATAATTAATAGCAATTACTTCCCCACGTACATCATTTTATTTAAAATATAATCATTTTTAAAAAAGTAGATTGTTTACATAAACTGAAACTTAAGATTTCGACGTGTGGAAAAACTTAGGTTAGGAGTTTATAAACAAAAAAATATTTTCTTTTAGCGCTTAACTTTATCAGAAGATAAAAGCGGAGATACTTTTATATATAAATTTTTTTTTGTTTTTATATGTAAATCGTTTTATGTTTTTAATTATTTTTTTTTTTTATTTTTATTTATTATTTATAGTTATTAAATTTGTATATAATAATTTTACTGCAAGTCTTGCAATGCGAAAACAATTTTTCTCTTAACTTTTCCACACAGTCAAACAAATTCTTTATTTAATCTGCACTGCGCATGAACAAACAGAGAGGCGCTTGCATTTTATGGAGAAATTCATGAATGAACATAGCATAAGTATCCATTGCCAACACTATAAACATTGCAAAAAGCAATTATTAAATGTCATTCCTTCTCATTCTCTCTTGAAATTCAGCCTAAAAGCCGGCAAAACATTACAAATTACTTTGGTATGCCGCCATTTTTGGGGAGCAGAATCCGACGTCGTTACGCCAAAGCATTAATTTAGCGTTTCATCCTTTTTTCATCAGTATTTTGTTTCGCTTTGCCTTTTCCGGGATTTTCTTCTATCGACCTGCGTGAAGTTAAAATGAAAATAAGAAAAAAAAAACAATTGAGATATTTTCTATATATGCCTTCAACACGGACAATTTGACATTTGTACTGTTAAGGTGAACAAGGAATTTGGGTAGAAATTTTTTTTTTAAACCATTATTGTGCAAAAATGTAGTTCTCGGTATACTTTAATTAATTCTGTGAAAAATGTTTATTAATTGGTTTAACAATTTAAGTCATCGCACTTTAGCGATTACAATTTTAATTTGCATATCCTTGATATACGTGTCCTATACATTTAACTCATGTCTCCTGACCAGCATAAATCGTACTTTTCAAAAGGTCAGTCAACTTTTTATGTTTACATAAAAAAAATTTTCCAAATAATTTCAAGTAATTTTATAATTAATAATTTTTCTCTTTTACAGAGTCCTTTGCGTAACTTCCTTTTATCGTCAAACGTGCTACCATCCACAGAGCAACTGACTACATCCGTACCAAATCTAATTGTGAATAATACTAGCCAAATACATATATCTTTATCTTTATTACGAAAAACTTTAAATACTACAACCACCTATGTTTCGGATGGTGCACCGAAATATCGCCTTTTACGTCAGCAAGGACTGAGGCCATCTCGCCATCTACCAGATACTTTAATTATTGGTGTAAAGAAAAGCGGTACCCGTGCTTTACTGGAGTTTATAAGACTACATCCTGATGTACGTGCTGCTGGTTGTGAAGTACATTTTTTTGATCGACATTATCAGCGTGGCTTCAATTGGTATCGTCGATATATGCCATACACCATTGAAGGACAAATAACGATGGAAAAAACACCCAGTTATTTTGTAACTAAAGAAGTGCCACATCGTGTACATCATATGAATCCTAAAACAAAGTATGTATGGAAAGAATATATATATATATATATATAATTTATACAAGTGTAGGTATATCATCATCTATAGTACTTTAAGCTTTTGGATCACTTTAGGAATTTGCTAATTAAGACCTTTTTTTGTCATTCCTTTTAGAATACTTCAAAATTTATACTAAAATTAAATTGAATGAAAAATGGAAATATTAAATAAACTATATTAGAATTCATTACACAATGTAGAAAATTGAAAAATAGAAAATAAGTTAGATTCTATTATTGTTAACCGTGGGTGAAACATGGGTTAGAATACGGTTAGGTTAAGGAAGTGTAAAAGGGAGAGGTGTTATTTGACAACAGTAATCGATTAAAGATGGGTTGGACTTTGATTAAAGCTGATATTGGAACAAAGTGGAGAAACCTAAACACTCTAATTGGACTTAAATAGATTCTAAGATGTTTTTTATACCATAGTAAAGTAGTATTACCTTACAGTCTATATTTTACCATCTAATATATAGATTATTTCAAGGTGTTTGCAATACGTTAAAATTATTTCACACATATTGAAACACATTCAAATTCTAATATAATTTTACCAATACTCATAGATAGGTACACCTTAATCTGAAAGGTTTGTTGTATAAGAGAATGAGATTAAGTGGGCATTTGGAGACATCTTATGAAGTTCAGAAAATTTATATATCTAGTCTGAAATCCTTTATATTTTCCTACCTAAAGCAAGGTACAGATAGCTCTGTTAAAAAATAGTTTTTAGGTTTCCCTAAACTCAGACCCTCAGATAATTAACAGATACATTGTTGTCCAATAAAACTTAAGTTTATGACATCAACTTCAGCCTAGTTAATATTTCCATTTTCAAAGAAAGATTGCTTTCTTCTCCAGATTGTTTGTAGTTCCTCCACTATCTAATGTAAAGCGATCCATTATCTGTATACCAAATTTGCGCACTAGATAACATAACATTGTCAGTTTTTCCCCGAATTATTTACTATGGGTAAAGAAACTAGCAGCAATGCTAAAAATCTAAGGCAATCCAAATAGCTCAGAAATTCTTAGAGGTCTCTTAGCACAAACAGATTTAAATTCAGATTAATCACTAGTTTGTAGACATGCTTTCACTAATTACCAGAACAAATGATATTGATATTGACAGTCTTATGCACCGATCGAAATACCCGTCCATCTTAGTTTGGTTTTATTCGGTTGTCTAGGAACAGTTACAATATCTCTTTCTGGCTTTTGGGGAGCTAAATTTAGTCTGTTTATTAATTCGTTCACTTATCAAAAGCCTTTATTATATTCAAGATTACTATAATAAAAATCACATAGATCACTATGTATCTATAATATCAATTATAGTAGTAATAACATATGAAAACATAATTTATTATATTGATAATAGTAATTTAGTTTTTGTTGTTTTTTTTTCTATTAAGAAAACAGTTTCTTTCATTATGTTTGACTTTAAAAATCAAAATGTAATAATATATATATTTATCATTAACACAGTTTCTTTCATTATAATTAATATTAATAATCAAAAAGCATAATATATATTGCTAATAAAATCACAACATTTTTAAAATCCCATTTTCTAAACATAGATTACTTGTGGTTGTACGAGATCCAGTAACCAGAGCCATCTCCGACTACACGCAAGCGGCAAGTAAAAAGTCAGATATGAAACGTTTTGAAGACTTGGCCTTTGTGAATGGAACCTATTCAGTTGTGGATACAACTTGGGGACCAGTTAAAATAGGCGTATATGCACGGTATCTGGAAAAATGGTTACAATTTTTTCCACTAACGCAATTACTCTTCATAAGTGGTGAACGTTTGATAACCGATCCTGCATACGAAATCGGTCGTGTACAAGATTTTCTCGGTCTTAAACGTATTGTAACTGAGAAGCATTTTTACTTTAATGCTACAAAAGGCTTTCCTTGTCTACTTAAATCCGAAGCACGTTCTACACCGCACTGTCTTGGCAAGACAAAAGGACGCAATCACCCACATATCGATGCTGCAGCTATCGAAAGACTCAGAGAGTTTTATAGACCGTTTAATAATAAATTTTATCAAATGACAGGCATAAACTTCGCTTGGCCATAAAAACTTCATTATGAAATTTTGAAAACGAATCATGGTTGTAGATCAAATAAATACTCGTTATTGAATTAGTTTAGTTGAAGAATTTGGAATTGTTAAATTAACGATAAAAATTTACTAGTTAATTGAAAATTAGTTACTTGTGCTGTATTAGTAAAGTACTTAGGACGAAATGTCTCTCATAAGTATATATCACAATGGAGCCAATTTTTTGGGGTCTAAACGAGCCCAGGGGCTGGCACTTGCAGCCTTCATACTTGTATTCCTACATATACTTATATACATGGTGTTGGCATCTATTGCAGAAGTAACGATTAATCAGAGAGATAAAAAAATTTAAGCAATAAATAGACTTGCAATTTGAATAGTAGACTTATAATTGGTAAAAAAAATCTTAGCTTTATATTTATGAAAGTGGTTCCTTCTTGTGCTGCATTGTTAAGTCAATAATGGCAAATTAGTATATAAAAAAAATTATCTACAATTTAAATGAAATTATCTCAAGCAAAAGCATTTCTATTATATATGAATATAGTATATTATCTATATCTTATATACAGATACGGTTTAGATAAATTTATCTCTAAATGCAATATTGTATCCACATAAATTGTTTAAATTTTGTAGACATTTTTGCTAAAATATGAAACTTTTTTATAAAAAAATTTATTTGTTATATTAGTTTAACTGAGCTTAATAGAAATAATGACAAAAAATATTATATATAGATTTTTAAATTAATTTTTTATTGATGATCTTCCAATAGAAATTCGTTACACTCGAATTCAATTTAAGTAAAAAAAACAATAGACTGTAGCAAAGTTATTCAAAGTTTTTTACTATTAGCTTAGCAAAATTAAATATTTACAACTTAATCAAATTTAAAAAAATATATAAATCTAAATATATTTTGAATTTTTGTAGCAGATTGTAATAAAATTTTTTTCTTATACTGCATCTATTTTGATGCCTTAAGTACTTCAACGAGTGAGTTTACAGGAGTGAGTGCATTCCACAAATCATGCACACATCCTTTCATAGGTGCAATATACGAAATGAAATTGTTTTTAATAAAAACGTTTAATAAATATATTATGTACGTATACATAAGTAAAATATATAAGCTTTATTTCATTTAAGCTAAAATACTTACCTATATATGATATAATTAATAAATCAACATGATGAAAAATAATGTTTACAACTTTTATTTCTCAAAACGAAGGTACAGGATACATAACGTCTATACATTGATCTCAAGAAGAAAACGTTCGAGCATAAGAAATTGACTTTTTATAATGCAACCCCAAATATAATAACATTCTAACTAAATTAATGAAAGAAACCCATAGAGTGCTGTTTCATTGCACCTGCCATGTGTTTGTCCCACATTGTGTAGTTCCTATAGACACTTACGGAAAAGAAGGGCAAATTAGATATAATAATGGCGATTACAGGGTAGAATCAGATCGATTGAATCACATTATCTTTATCTTAAACTGTCCCGCAGCTTCTGTTGTTGTTATAAGAGACATCCCATAACCATTTGACATGCCTCTGAATAGTTTCAAGAGCGAAAGTAGCAAGCTTCCTTCACCTTGCCACAGACTGATTTGAATTAGATACGTACATACTTATGAGGTATAATCCTTAGGAGATTATAGGGGTATAATCCTCCCTTTCGGCACAAACCTCAACCAACTACTGTTTTCTGATATGTGTTTTAAGACCAGATCTTAGTGGGATTTGAATCCAGATCCCATTGTGACGTAGTTCAAATACATATGCAACATATCAGTTCTCCAAAATTCTAAGACTACCATTTCAAACTTTTTCTTTTCTCTACACATTCTAGTTCTGTAGACACCCATAAATATATTATAGAGTCAGGAAAGTAAATTATTGTAGTATAAATTAACTACAAATTAAGTAGTATAAATTGAATATAGAAAGTAAACTATATAGACTATCTAAAAGGTATGAAACCCTTATGTTTCTCGACGACTTAAATGGCTGCAGATATCTTGTATAGTCCATCTCCCTATTCTTACGCCTTCAACCACCACCCATCCACATCCCACAACCCTTCGTAAATCTTTTCATGTTGTCTGTTTTCAGGTCTCAGTGCGTTATCCTTTCTGGTTCTCCTTTCTAGGTATAATTTCTTCATTTTGAGGACTTGAATGGCATAGAATCATATGGGATCAAGTCCTCAAAATGAAGAAATTAGATCTAGATAGAAGAAACAGAAACTAGAATAATAAATAGTGCAGACACCAAGAAAATGCGGTGAAAAAGTGAAGGTCTATACACAGATCGAAAATCACAAGAGTGTGACTTGAAATGTCAACATTAAAAGAGATTCTCCCCGAAGTAATGCGAAAGCGGTTCCGAAGGGGAATAAGTCTTGCAGCAGAGGGAGTGTTTTAGTCCGTATACTACATATTAATGTTTGAGAGTTGGGCACACCATTGCGACGACGGTCGGTTTAACAGTGCATAAAGCATTCCACCTCCTCACCATAAAAACAATAAAAAAGGTCTCAGTGCGTTACAAGAACAAGAACTGCTGATGTCTTGAAGAAGGACAATTCGAAATGGATACTGAATACTGGCAAATCCATTAACAAACTACAGCCAATAGCGCGTAACAGAAATAACTGAAAAGCTTAAATCGAAACCTTTAACTTCTTATAGAAGTATGATTATCTACTTCTTAGATAAAAATTATCTAAAAGCATTCAAATGAAGTTTCATAATTTATCCTAAAAACAATAAATTAATAATAAAAATGGACTTTCATTTTTTCAATATAATTATATATATAATCTTTTTAAATAATTACTTTTATTTTATTTAGTTTAATTTACAATTTGCTTCTCTTTGCTTTCACTTATTGAAATATGTTTAAGTTATAATAGTGTTTTTATTTATTCTCTTATACATTTGATGATGTATAAATAAGTATTTGTATATATGTATAATTGTATACATATTTATATATATGTATTTGTAATAATTTAAATAAACTATTTCGATTAAAAAATAAAACGCTTTATTTTTAATACTAAAATATATCTTAAAAACTACAAGTTCATCACTAAAACTATAGTTTCAAATAAATAATTTAACTTAGTTAATGTTTTTGTAATTCATATCAAACCGATTTTATACATTCAATTAGTTTCTATAAATCATTAAATTATTTTAGTAATTTTATTAATTACTCTTACAAAAATTATTCAAGAAATAAAAAAGAAATTTTTATTACATGCACATGTAAGTATATAAATAAATTTAAAAATAAAATAATTTAAGCTTAAAATATTTAAAAATTAATTATAAATTAACTATTTTTGTATATGTGTTTTTGTGAATTTTTTTTATATAATAACATTATTTTATTTTATTTTATTTTATTTATTTATTTTATTTTTTCGTAAAATTAGTAGGAAACAAAAATATAGTTGTTGTTGCTGCATTTTAAAGAGCAAACTTGGTATTTCACATAATTCACTTTTAATGATTTTAAACAAATTTGCTGTATAATTTAGTTTACATTGTAATTTCTTTTTTTTTTTTGTTTTTGTTTTTACATAAGTCTTTTGTTTAACTTCAGTTAATTTAAATATTAGCTTTTGCGCTTATTTTACAAGAAGAAAAAAAAACAATATATATTTATGTATATTTTTTTTTTTTTGAAGAATTTTGTGAAATGGCAGTTTTAAAATTTCGTTCGTGTTTGAATCGTTTCTGTTTAATGTTCTTTTTTTTTAATTATTGTAATTTTTGTAGAACATATTTATTTAATTTTTTTTTCTCTTTGCTATGATTATTATTTTTTAAATCTTTATTTACAGACTTTTTGGTTTATTTGCTAATGCTAAATGTTTTAATTCGAAAATGCTGTGTAAAATTATTTTCACAGAAAAAAAAAAAACTTCATGAATTAACATTTATTTAAACGTATAAATGCGTTCATTCAAGTAAATTCGAATTCATAAATAAAATTTTAATGAAAAAAAATAAATAAGCTGCAGTTTTCTATTTTTTTTTTTTGAACTTTTTGCACTAATTAACGATAACCAAGAAATGCCTTAAGTTGGATGTTATGCTTTTTTTTTTAAATGTATTAATTATTTTTAAGGCTGTAATAAAAATTTTACAGTCTTCCAATTTCTTAAGTTTGCTTGTTATATTTTAATTTTTTTTTTCATAATTTCAAAGGGTTTAAGTATACATTTTTTCTATATATATATACTATATATATGATATTCTGCTAACCCTGCATTTAAGTACATCTAAATACTATATATATTGCATCTATACAGCAGCTACGTTTTTTTTTCTATTAGTTTAATTATAAAAAAATATAAATTTTAAAATTTGTTAACAAATCAAAAAAAAAAAAATAATTATAATTTGTATATATCATCTCACAAATTTTAATTTAATTATAAATATGATATTGTTACTAATTTATTGCTTTCATTTCTTTTAAATACAATCAATTCAATTAAATACTTGCACTACATTTAAAGCTAATCAAATTGTTTATTTGTCATTTCAGAATTTTAAATTATATATTATATCTGTTGCGTGTAGATCTATTATAAGATCTGCACAACAAAAGAATGTTCTACTTGTATTTACTTTTGTAAAATATTGTAATATTTATTGAATTGTGTTATAAGCCCAAACCCAAAAAAAAATTTAAATTATTTAGTTAGTATAAAATAAAAATAATTTAATTTGCTCCAGGCAATTTATTCAACATAATTCGTTTTGGGCGATTCGCATTTCGCTTAAATCGCCGAATTCGCTTTAAGTGACTTATTTAACTTGCTTTGATTTGACTGATATATTTAAGTTACTTCGCTTTAAGCGATTAATTTGACTTAACTCGCTTTAAGCAAATTTAACTAAATTGGCTCTGACAAAATCACTTTACCTAATTCGCTTTGGATAAATTGTGACCTGCAATGCGCTCTAAAGCGACTTAGTTAATTAAAATCGCTCTGGACATCCATTTTATTTATGGCTCTGACAGTCATTTTATTTAATTCACTTTGGGTAAATTATTTCCTTTAATTCACTCTAGGCGATTTATTTAACTTAACTCGCTTTAAGCAAATTCAACTAAATCGACTCTGACAAAATCACTTTACCTAATTCGCTTTGGATAAATTGTGACCTGCAATGCGCTCTAAGCGACTTAGTTAATTAAAATGGCTCTGGACATTTTATTTAACTTAATTCGCTTCAGATGAGTGAGGAAAAATAGTAAACGAGCAACAGCAGCAATCGTGAAGTGCAGTCGTGAAGTGCAGTCGCAATAATTAAATAATTATATAAAAACTACTAACAAATAAAAGTAAAGATTGGACCAAAAAAGAAATTTCAGAAAGTGGAACAAGAAATTTTTAATAGTTTCGTATAAATTATAAAAAAAAAATGTCATCGCTTAGATGGTTTCATCCAACAATAAGTGGCTTAGAAGCTGAGAAGTTATTACAAGAGCAGGGTTTTGACGGTTCATTTTTGGCTCGTCTTTCATCATCGAATCCAGGAGCATTTACATTATCAGTGCGTCGTGGTCAGGAGGTTACTCATATTAAAATTCAAAATAATGGCGATTTTTTTGATCTTTATGGAGGTGAAAAATTTGCGACGCTTCCCGAATTAGTTCACTATTATATGGAAAATGGAGAGTTAAAAGAAAAAAATGGACAAGTGATTGAATTAAAACAACCTCTTATTTGTGCGGAACCAACAACTGAAAGATGGTTTCATGGGAATCTTTCAGGAAAAGAGGCTGAAAAATTGATATTGGAACGTGGAAAGAATGGTTCTTTTCTTGTACGTGAATCTCAAAGTAAGCCCGGAGATTTTGTGCTTTCGGTTCGTGCTGATGATAAAGTGACTCATGTCATAATACGATGGCAGGATAAAAAATATGATGTTGGAGGTGGAGAGCCTTTTTCTACTCTTTCTCAATTGATTGAACATTACAAAAGAAATCCTATGGTGGAAACGTGTGGCACTGTTGTCCATTTGCGACAACCGTTTAATGCGACTCGGATTACTGCTGCTGGTATTAATGCCAAAGTAAAACAGTTAATTAAGGGTGGATTCTGGGAAGAGTTTGAATCATTACAACAAGACAGTCGTGATACGTTTTCGCGAAATGAAGGTTATAAATTGGAAAATCGAAATAAAAATCGTTACCGTAATATATTACCATATGATCACACACGTGTTAAACTAATAGATATTGATCGTAACATTGCTGGTACCGAATATATTAACGCTAATTACATTCGATTAGCCACATGTTCAAATGGCGCTTTGTCAGGGTGTAATAGTTCTGCCAATGGTACAACGCGTGCATCTATATATAATTCAATAGAACGCGAAATGTTCAAAACATATATTGCTACACAAGGTTGCCTGTTCAGCACTATTACTGATTTCTGGAACATGATTTGGCAAGAAAATACGCGAGTAATTGTTATGACAACTAAAGAATTTGAGCGAGGAAAACCTAAATGTGCCAAATATTGGCCTGATGAAGGTCAATGCAAGCAATTTGGTCATGCAAAAATACAGTCTTTATCTGAAAACTCAACTAATGATTACACATTACGAGAATTTCTTTTTTCGTGGCGCGATAAACCTCATCGTCGAATTTTTCATTATCATTTTCAAATTTGGCCAGATCACGGTGTACCAGGGGATCCAGGTTGCGTATTAAATTTTTTACATGATGTTAATACTAAGCAAAGCCAACTAATGCAAGCAGAAGAAAATTCGGGTCCTATATGTGTACATTGTTCTGCTGGTATTGGTCGTACAGGAACTTTCATTGTAATTGATATGATTTTGGATCAAATTAATAGATACGGTTTGGACACAGAAATCGATATTCAACGGACAATCCAAATGGTTCGATCACAACGTTCCGGTTTAGTACAAACTGAAGCACAATACAAATTTGTGTATTATGCTGTGCAACATTACGTACAAACACTTATTGCCCGAAAACGTGCAGAAGAGCAAAGTTTGCAAGTTGGACGGGAATATACAAATATAGCCGATATAGCCGATATATATAAATAGAATATATCGTGAACAATGCGAGTTTATGATGGGACTTTAAAATTAACTAAAACTTGATTTGAACTATAAATATTTATGTAGAAAAAACTGTGATTAATCATATAAATACTGTACGTCCTAAAATTTTGAATTTAATTTAAAATTCTGAAATTAACAATTATAAATTGTGCGATTGATTAACTCTGTAGCATTCAAATTTCTTTGTAATTTATGAGTATTTTTCATATATTAGCTACTTACTCATAATCTATATAAATGACTTCATATATACTTTTTTTTACTTTAAAAATCTTTAAAATGTATACTTGACATAGTAGTATATACTGAATATAATTTTATAATTTTGACATTTTGTTATACAATAAAATAGCATAATTGTTCATTTAGTTTAGTTCATTTCAATTATTTTTTACTTTCAAAAGTATCTCAAACCTTTAGATGCGGTGGTGTTTGTTGTTCTTATGTTGTTTATAAAAATTTTAATAATTTAATTTTTTAATTTTATTTTGTAATAGCAAAAAAAAAATTTACGTTTGCTTTATGATTTTACCATGATTTTTATAAAAGAAAGAGACATAATTTCAAAAAAGTTTTTCTAATGCATAAAAGCCAAAAAGGACATACATACATAAATATATAAAATTTAGTATATTAAGGATTAATAAGGTATCGCAGTTTGGCTGTTTCTTGAAATAGAGATTTGTTAAAATTCTTTTATAAATCCATACGCCATCTTAATAGATATTTCTTCCAAATTTTTTCGTTTATTGTTTAATAAATATATTATTTAATTTTTAATTTGAATTATTTTAAATTGCTTAAGTTACAATCTTGTATACGTTTTCTTTAGAATTTTAAAGTTGCGCAAAAATGTTTAAAGATAATGCAACTATACAAATAAAATAAAAATAAAAATAAAAATATTTATAATAGGAAAAAATATTATAAAATAGTATTAAACAAAATAATTTAGATAAATATCAAAATATACAATCTATTATGAATGTTGTATGTTTTGTATGATATATATAATTGACAAGATAATACAAAATCTGTTAAATATTTTTTATGAAGTTCAAATTTTCTTTAATGTAGAGGAAGGATAATAACATAAAGTTGAGTGAGTTGCAACACTGGTAAATTATTATTTTAAATAAATTCTGCTGTAATTACTAATATAATATTTCGAAGCAGTTTTAAACCAACTACAGAAAATAAATATCTTGTCATATACCTACATATTGTGTTAACTTTAAGAGGAGCTTATTATATCTAACTGTATCTTGAACGTTTCTTTTAATATTCAAATATCATAAATAGTAATCGCGCATAATCGATTGTATATTTTAAAAACAACAACAAAAACACCACAATTTTAAATAAATTATAAATCAAACTAAAACTTTGTATAATAATTTTCTTTTTTAAATACAAAAATATTAATTGTTACACAATTATGATTTTACCATCTTACTGAACACTTTGCGTGCGTAAATAAAATTATAAAAAAAAAAAATATTCAATTTACTTTTTAACTTACAGTACGTACTTAAACGAATTTCGATTGCTTACTAACTGTAGTTGTTGCAGTTGTGGTTGTTGTTGTTATTGAAGTCGCAGTCGAAGTCGAAGTTGAAGTTGAAGTCTTTACAGCATTTGCACCACTTACGGTTGCAGCATCACGTCCAATTGCATGTGTACTGGCGCAGTCTTTTGCCTTATTCTTGACATCTAATTTACCCACTGTCGTTGTAATTGCAGCTGGTGGCCTATTTGTAAGTAAAGCTTCAGATTGTGCAGATTGTAAACGCTGTTCACAAAACAAGAATCCAGTTCTTAGCCAATTTAGCCTTGTTTCAGCCATTGAAGCGCCCAAACTTTTGGTTATTGCATACGTTGACGTTGAATATAGAAGAGAATCTGCATCAGTTGTTGTAGTGTCAATTGATGAAGTATAAACACACTGCGGTTTAATGCCAGCTGTATATGATTGCCTTTTTACGGGTTGTTCAGTTTTTATATTTCGATCACCACGTAATATTGCAGTCATATCCTTATCACTGCTTAGAGATTCTGTTGGTGAAGTTACGTTTTCACTTTGTGCTTTTGCCGCCGCTGTTGTTATGCTACGCCTGCGATCTGTAATTGGAAATTTATTCTTTGTACAACTAAGATCCAGTTCGAGTGTATAAAATCTTCCAAGACCATATTTTTTATTTTCATTCACAATTCGTTTGGGTGCAGCTACATTCACTTCATTAGCATTAGTGTTATTCGATTTTTGCACTATAGTGCATATGCTGCTCAGATTGCTATTAGTTGTTTTATCACTATTTTGTGAAGAAGTTAAAGATGTTCCAGATTGAGTTGTGGTTGCAAAGAATCGTTGTGTTATACCATCAACTTCATCTTCATTACCTTTTTCCGTAATTGTAGCATTTGATTGTACATCATCTTCGTCGTCATCCGTAGCTATATGTAACTCATAAGTGAAGTCTTTGTTGATAGGAGGCGGTGCAGCTGGTGGTGGAGCTATATTAGTGCCAGTACTTTTAATAACTCTTTTCTTTGTCGTTATTATTGTTTTCACATTTGACGTATCTATTGTTGCACTTCCACTCAAAGGAGTTGTAGTAACTGTCGTTGGAGAAGTTTTATTATTCTTAAGACCATTTGCGTCTCTATGCTTTGCAGAGCCTTGCAAGCGTGGTGATTGTTCTATTAATAAATTTTCACAACTAGTTTCATATACGCTAGCGAGAGGTTGAGATTTTAAATGTGGTTTATGACTTGGTACATAACTTCCACTTGTGTTTGTTGTACTGGCACTATTAAAGATTTTTCCAGTATTAGCATCTGTAGCTTGCACATGTTCTGACATACTAACTCCGCTTAGTTCAGCTAAACGCTTTTGTCTAGGCATGAAGTCAGTTATTTGTTCTTGAGCAAGTTGATTGATAGTATCTTTATCCTTTTTAGATATTATATCTTGTGGCTCTAAATAAAATGCATCAAAATTTAAATCTAAAAATAATTCCTGCAGGAAACGCCTGGCATTCATGCGATAATTACTTCTACCGAGTGTTTTGCACACTTCCGAATAAAGACAAATATCTTGAAATGATGCTGGATGCTTCTGTTTTAACTCTAATAAAGCCATTTTTGATTGTTTTGCACTAACCGGATTTGCTAAACGCTGAACATTATAAAATATGTTGGCCGTTAAACGATCTGGCATACTCTCTTCGCTTAGTATACTCTCGGGTGAATTGAACGAAATATCCGAAAGTTGTATGCTTGAAGAACCTTGAGTTGCTACTTGTTGATGCTGTTGCTGTTGTTGTTGTTGTTGCTGTTGAGTTGATTGTTGTCCTTGCGACTGTTGTGTTTGTTGTTGCTTTGGCAATCTACGTGCTAATACTGCAGTGGCTTGCATACCTGCTGCCACTAGTGCAGCTGATGCATTGCTATATATTTCACATGTTGTGGGCTCACTATCAAGACGATATGCTAGTGAACGATTCCGTCGCACACGTGAACAATTGAGGCAATTATGGCGACCATGTTTAGCACCCAACCATTTCGAACGTTTACTTACTGAAGATACATCGGATAGCGAAGATATTACTGATGATTCGTCTCCACCTTCATTATTTAATGAATCGTTCAAATACTGTTGTTTTGCAGTTAACAAATTAATGTCCATTAAGTCTTGATCTTGAATATCACGTGATATATACGTGTGTAATAAATTTCGAGGGGGGAATAAATCTAGTAAATTTTTTGGAAGACATATGCCTGCAAAAAATAAAGTTAATTTAAATATTGCAAAGGATTTTACTAGACATACCGGCATAAGTAGGACCATTGGAATCATTTTGTGATAAAAACTTTGGTGCAGTTAATGTAGGTAATGGTACTTGTAACTCTTCCGAACCCAAGCGTCTATATAATATATATGTAAAATAAATTAAAAAAAATATAATAAACTATGTAATTTGGGAGAAAAAATTATATTTATACTTACGCATACATTCGCAGGGAAGACTGCCGATCTAGGCTGCGCACTTTTAAACGACGTTGCGCTGATTTATGTGGACTCGTTTGTGGATTACTCTCAAATATATCATATATATCTGCAACAGATTCCGACAGCACTGGTCGGCAAGAACGACGTAATGCACGCAATTTGGCATATCCATTATAGTCCAAAAGCGAAGTACGTCGAAATAAAGAAGTTTGGGTTTGTATTTCTAAAAGATTCGACATACTAGGTATAGGACTTAGTGGAATTTGGTGAAAGTCACTGTAAAGTAATATTATTCAAGCATTAATTTTAAATATATTGAATAAATATATACAAACTTACCCAACAGGTCCACGCATACGTTCAGTAACAGACTCACAACTGCTTACACCAGAAGTATTGGAATCCGTACATGAATTATAACGTATACGATGTTGATAGTGGGCACCAGGTCCACCAATAATACTGATAACATCTGTTGTTTTTGATTCGGATAATGAACGCTGGTGTTTTGCAAATCGTATATTAGTACCTTCAGGTAATGTTCTTGACTTCGCCGTTGTAGTTACAATAGGTCTACAGCTCTATAAATTAAATATAAATTTAATTTACAAAATAAATTTTATTTTTTTGATTTGTTGGTTATTATTAATACAATTTACCATACAAATAATTGTTGTACATTATCGATATTTTTATTTCATTTTATATTATTTTACGTTTAAACACCCGACATTTGGCGGATTTTTTGCCCGTCCCTTCAGTATTATAAATAGATTTTTTTTAGCAGACGGAATCCAAAATTGCTTAACATCAGGTGTATTAAAAAATAAATAATAAAACTATAATATATATAATGTAATTATTTTTATAAAGGAACTCTACCCATAAGCATTAAGATGACAAAAAAAATTTTTTTTTATATTCAGATTATCTTATGTTATATATAAAAAAATTGACATAATCCTACACAATTATAATTTATATATAATAAATATACAATATTCAAAATAATATGTTTATATAAATATTATATATTTTGTACCTCTTCACCCATTTTACTGCTGTCGGAAGTGGTATTAGCGTCTTGAGCTTCTGAACTGCCAATAGCTTCGCTATCTTTAGTATTATTACTACTACTTAAAAGAAGGTTCCAATAACTGCCAGTATAATACGGTGCATCAATTTGATCCTCAATGCCTGTATAGTTATACGGAGGCATATCATCATAATGATGCCGCGCTGGCGTGTAGTTGTGCGACATCCAGTCCTCTGCTTGATTTACAGGCCAAGTTGTATTACGATCGTGGCGAACACTTAACCAATCTTAAAAAAATTAATTGAAAAACAATTAAATGAAAATATAATTAATGTTTTGTTTTAAACTTACTTAATTTGTAAAGTAGATTGGCGCCTGCATTTGTGCCACTGATTAAACCTAAAACGCTAAAAGCAGTAGCACGTATTGAATAAACTTCACATTTTGTAGCAAGTATGACCAATTTTTCATAAATTCTATACGAATATATATTTATTTCTATAAAAATTATTCAGCTATATATTTTTAAAAGAAATATACCTTGAGCCCGTTTCTACAAAATATTCAATTCCATTTGAATGCGTCGATGCATGCCCCACTGCCCATATGGCAGCTTTTAATTCTACACAGTCAGTATCATCGGTACATTTACCACGAGATACAATATCAATTAAATGCGATAAGTCACTAAATTTACGCAACGCAGTGGTACCCTGCGCTGTTTGAACCATTTGCCCATACAGATGTGGAGGAATATTTGGTGGTATAATAGTTGGGCGTGTATTGCAGTTACGTCGACTATAATAGCCATCCTCATTACGTACATGCAGAGTTAAACTGGAATGCGTATCAGCCTCTACGAGTAACACATACCTGCACAAAAGATATTTAAGAAATATTTTAATTTTTTATTATTTGAAATTGTTTTGAATTAAATAAGTGAAGTTCAAATCAAAAACAACAAATTTTATACTAAATTCTTTTGTTGTTGTTTGATTGTAAAACTTCTTTAACAAATTTTGATATTGCACGCTCGCCTCTTATTGTAACCATTTTTCCAGTACTCGATCTCTTCTTTTATTTTCGCTTTTCGATGATTTAAACCACGTGATAGTGAATAATAACGTGCCATCAAAAGACGACCAACATCACCGAGAGCTTTTAAGTTGGGCCACAAGCTAACAATTTCTTCAAGATAATACTAAAATAAGAAAATAGTAAATAAATTTCTTTGATTTGACAACAAATTGTTTTTGTGTTTATACCTTTTCATGACATGATTCTTCTAACACATCCATAGCAGCCAATACAACACTACGATCTGGATCTTTTGTTTGTTGTATTATCAAAGGGATACCCCATACTTCAAAATTGGTTATACGTGCCCGTAACAGCACAACTAAAAATTGAGTGGCATATAGACGTCCACTACGTATTTTTGATGAAGTCAAAGCTTTTTCAAGCACCTTGCGCGTTGCTGAATCGAGAGTGTAATCCAATCCAGAAACAATCAATTTTACATAGCAAACATGATCGGTGTTACAAACCAAATTAGTTAAGCTAAAGAGAATTAATTAATTGATTAATTTTTTTATTCTATTATAAAAGTAATATATAAAATACTCACTGCTCAAAAATTGTAGTATTTGTTAATATGCTTATACCCTTCGGTTTACGACACATACGCCCTATAAATAAAAAATACTGTTGACACATAGTGTTGTTGACATGTTGCGGACTAAATAAACAATCGTGTGCACGGCTTGATGTGGTTACAGCTTTAAGATGATAACTAACATCAGAGAAATAGTCCGTCAAGAGACGCATACTCTCCAGCTAAATTAGAAAACAATATTAGTTGATATTGTTTAGAATATCGAATATTTATACCTCTTTGCTAGCTAACAACCAATCTATTAAATCCAGACCGGCTGTGACATTCGATGGCAGTGGGCGACCTTGTGTAAAGTCTTGATGTGAGAAACTACTATTGCTTGGTTTAAAATAATGCACTAAACGTTTCAGAAATTTTCCAGTGTTATCATCCATTTTACGTATTAGGCTCGATCTTAATATAGTTATAATAACTTCCCAATCCCAAGTACTGCTATCAGCTTGTACTAATACATTAGAGTCTTTTATTAAACGATTCACGCGAAGATTTTCCAAAATAGGTAAAAATCTATGTTTTAAACGAAAGCTAGAACGTCGTGATGATGACGATTGAGAAGCAGATTCATCACTAGAGGAAACAGAATCCAAACGTGGACGATCGAGTGTACTTGTTTGTAATACGCCTCCTCCTATTGGTGATACTTGAATATTTGCTCCTATTTGGTGATCTTGAGAGTTAATATCTCTTCGAAACAAACGTGTTTTTATTAAATCTAAAATGAAATATATGTGTTGTTTATATGGTTTGCAATTTTTATTGAGTGTAGGTATAGACTTATTTGTACATACTTCCCCCTTGTAAAATACTGTCCAAAAATGGACTACATGAAGCGGGACGATTTCGTAGCATCTTCTGGTAATTTTGTAAAGCTAAAATTGCTGCCATAGCATTTTGATTACCACGCGATGCATGTAATACTAATGTTGGCAAAGTTGAACTTGTGCTGGATATATCGGCTGGCAGGTGAGTGTGCATAAGTTGTAATATTTTACCTAAAAATTTATATAAAATTAAATCGTATAGAATACAAAAAAATATCTATATATTTGCATTATATATAAACATAATTTCGCTAACTTTAACACGTCATGGTTGCGCCTATAGTAACCACTAGGCCAGAAAGTAACACGACATATTTGGTAAAAAACTTATTTGCATACAATAATAATAAATAAATAAATAATAATAAATAAAACAAATGAGTAATAACAAATAAAATATATAATAAAAATATAATTGAAAATATATACTAAAAAAATAAAAAAAAATATATAAATATATAAAATGTATTATAAATAAAAATCAATTAAATATATGATAAATAAAAATAAATAAATACTATGCTACACAATAGATCTTTAGATCAGAAAGTAACTAACGTACATTTATAAAAACTATTGCAAAAAAAAATACTAAATATAAAATCTACTAAATTTTATAAAATAAATAATAAAAAATATACTTAGTATCTGAACATTCGCATAGCATATAATAACATTTTTCCGTACCTATTAATACCGTAGTACGCACTGACAAATGCACATCTTTCGATATAATAACTTCGACAAGTGCATCAAGTAAACCAGTGTCTAGGAAACAATATAAAAGTAGTGCCATATGTTGTTCACAAGCGTTAGGCGCACGAGCTGCTAAACTAGGTAATATAGAGCGACCCTCCATAGCAACAAAACCATTGCTTAAAAGCCACGCATCCTATAATAAGGTAAAGCATAAATTAATTTCAAAATATTGATAATAAAATAATATTAATTACTTGGAAATCAGATGGATCAACCGTCTGAAGTGCCAGTGCATACTCATCAGTCCATATCGGTATTGGAAGACCCAATAATTCACATAACAAATCCAATATTGCTTTCTATAATGAGAGAGATATATGTATAAACAACATATATATAATTGTTATACCATATTTTTTTACTTACTCTCACTTCGATCTGATTAAGATACAAAGCTTCAACTATTGCTTTCAAACCTGAACGTTTACTTGGATCACAGAATTCAATAGTCCCAGTCCAACTGCGTAAAACTGAGAGTAACGCTAACCGACAACTAGTATACCGCAATTCATGTGCATCTCTGAAAAAGGAAAAGAAAAAACAAAACGTTTTATTGCGTGAAGATATAAAGTTTTTATTTAAAAAATAAAAGTAGGTAATATTGAGAATAATGATTGAGAATGAGTATATGCTTGAGAAACAATTATTTTCGAGACCACAGCTGCACACCAACAAAATATCCAACAGGTCCGTGCTAGATATCTTTAGGAATGAAAGACGCTTTCTTTGTGCGACAAGAACCATCCTATCCCAATTGATGCCAGAATATAGCCACATTCTAAATAGTTACTCAATTCTCAATGAGTGACAAAGTGCAGCATTAATCCACTTGACTTCGCTCATCGGTTCTCATGCCCTATGCGACTCAGTAATTTAAGTCTATTGAACCACAGCTGCACAAAAGCAAAGTTTTCAACAGATCCACGCTTGATATCTTCAGGAAAGAAAGACATTTTTTTATGCAATTGATGTCAGGATATAGCCACATTATGCATAAATGAGTCAATTCTCAATATGTGATAAAACTGCAGTATTAATCCACTTGACTTCGTTCATCTGTTCTCATGCTCTATTTGACTAATTTCCTTCAGATTCCTTCATAATAACCCAAGCTAGTTTTATTTAAGACAGAGAAGGAAATATGGGATGGAAAATTATAAGGATAAGGAAAATTAATGTGGTAACAGAAGAAACTATTGTCCTAAGCAAAAATATATTATATATGTAATGTAAGAAAAGATTTTCACAGTGATTACAAAGTGATTTTATTACTTACTTATTTTTATCCATAATGCCTAAGCGATATGTGAAGTCGCAGTAAGGTGCAGCTAAACAATCCAAACGTACACCTGATATATTTCTCGTTTGAGGCCATTCCAATAAATATAGTAAAACACCACAAAGACTCTCGGCAATACGAGGATTATGACATTCGAGAACGTTACGCGTAATGGAAGTAACTCCACCACAAATAATGAGTAGAGTGGGATTAAGTACTCCAAATTCGCAGAGTATCGCCAAACACACACGCAACAAATTATCACCATCTTCGATGCCACTATCAGCTAGTGACACTAAGCAGCGCACTAATACAGGACTGATATCGTCCGGTGATAATGATAACATTTTACGTATCTAAAAAATAAATTGCTTTCATTTACTGTCTGTTATTTGAAAAACTATATATATGGTAAAATTACCAATTTCAATGCCTGCACCCGCTCGTCATCATTTCTTAAGACTATATCAATGGAACGACAGAGCAAATGTTGCATTTGCATTGAGTTGAAAAGTTTTATATCTTTCGGTGATGTCAGCAAATACCGTATGGTACGCAAAGCAGCAGCCCGAACCTGTGTGAAACTGTGAACCATGCAGGCACTCAAGCTGAAATATTTACAAGAAAAATTAAAATTGCATATTAACTGTTTATTGTGAACCTGAGACGGCTTTAATTATTTAAGATTAGTATAATCCTTACCAATACAGCAACTCTTCCGTGGTAAATCCCAAAGTATTTCTAGACAGGTGTTGCGATTGCACATGTTGTTGTTGTTGTTGGCATAGCGTAGCCAGCGCATTAAGCAAATACAGGCGCTTGGTATCGCGTGTGTCACGGCAACACAACGCTTGGTAGATGTCGTAAACATTTTCAGCTGGTGATTTTTTGGGGTCCAATGCATAATCATCTTCGGGATCTTGTGGAACTGCAATAAGAGAATTATAAGAGCAATTAAAGCAAAATGAATAATTCATCGGATACGGATATTCTAACGAGTTCGCGGCAGAATTTTAATGTTTCCATTTAAAAAAAAATTAAGTAATTATAGTGGAAACAAGCGCCAGTAATATGAATAATTAAATTTTAAATTCAATAAATGCGGCAAACGATAACATCTGAAGAGAACCGTGTAGATTTTATTAGTGAATTTTCCACTTCCACATAATGAACTGACATAAGTTCACAGCGCAAAAAGTAAGTTGTTTTATTAATTTAAAATATATTTATGTTAAGGGTGAACGTAAAAAGGAAGGTGGGTACAAGTATGTCAAATTTTTTTAACTTAAAATTAAGGTAGTATATTAAGTAGACGTCATTTAAAGTACTCATTTTATAGTTATTAATACTCTGAACGAATATTTTGAACTCTGCTTATAAGGAACAACATAATATAATAGTTAAAGTAACTCTAGATATGAACTTTTTCAAGTTCTTATCAAAGATCTTATATAAATTTTTGTCTAGAGTTACTCTATCTGTTATGTTATCTGTTATAAGATCTTTAATATGATCTAAGATATAAAGTAAAGAACTTAAAAAGCAATCGGCATTTTATACGAATACCAGTAGAAGAGCAGTAAAAAGATTAACAAAGACTAAAAACCTCCAACAAAAAATTAGAAATACTGAAGAAGCAATGAAATAATATATGAAGACAAAATTATGATCAGGAACATAAAATTCATATAATCTTTAATTTTTAGAAAATAAACTTAATTTTTAAACTAATCTTTAATTTACTAGATTAGGTTGGAATGGTGACCTTGTACCAAACACACACTTGGCTTTAAATAATGACCCGTTCAGACACTACGGTTTAGTGTTATTCATATGCAGACTAGGACAGCGTACGAACAACACTAAAAAGTACAACTCCACCGTTCTAATTTGTTAGATTTGTGAAAGGAACCAATCTAACAAATCTATAAACTTAACCAAGTAAGTAATTTTACAGGATAACGGCTTTTGATTACCACCCACTGAAACACCCATTATTATCGTCAAGAAAAAGTTTTTATTTTTATTATATTATTTATATTTATTGCCTTAGTACAAAATTTATATTTAAGGAAATTTTATTAAAGTGGTTTTTCGAACATTAGTGAACTACAACAACAAAAATTCATTTTATATTATTTTAATTAATTGAATTTTTTGGCTGACCACGCAGCTCTTTTGAGTATTGCCAAATACCCATTAACAGTAGTCTTGGAAATAATTCTTGTATTTAATTATTCGTAAATAATTTTTTGACGCTGCAAGTACCAAGAATTGAAGTCGTATCCTGCCAAATTTAAAGCTTAGAGTCAGCGTAAATAATGTCTTGACACTGCAATTACCAGGAATCGAACTCGTGTCCTGCCAAATTTGAAGCTAAGAGTCAGCGCACCTTAACCAACTGACCCAAAACCGTACTTCACTTTTATTTTCTAACATTTTTCTAGAATTTTGTTAATTTGTTGTGAAAGTAAAAAGTTCACTTGCTGTATTTATATTAGAACGAAATCATAAACCAACTGTAGAGTAATTGAATTAAGGCGCACAATAGATCTTTTAGGTCGGGGCGCATTCATAACCTATTATAAAATAAAAATAATAATAATTGAATTAATTAATTATATTTGTATTATTTTTAATTGTTATATTTCAATATTATTCTGTTTGTAGAGGCATTTTTTGTTCTATAATTTATATATTCTTTCTTATGTATAGAACCAAATCTAGAAACGTGATATAGAGCAAATTTAATTTAAAAATCTTTACTGGTTCAGAAAATACAGAATTTTGATCGGTTATTTTCTGTTTTTGCCACACTGTGCGACTGTTTCAGAAATTGTTGAACTGCATGTAAATAAAAAGGGTTCGAAATGGCTATGTATTTCTTAAAATCCAATTGAAAATATTTTCAAGTTAAGATGCATTTTGTACTTAAGTATTTATTTCATAATAATGCAAGGGGAGCTGGAACTGATAGAGATATGAAAAACATTTTTGCAGTTTTTAATTTGAATGGGGTAAAAAAAAAATAAATAAAATAAAAAAAATACCAATATGCACATTGACGGAGGTCAATAAATATAATAACACGTAACAATAGATGATGATGATGAGACGAGAAAAACAATAAAAGTGTGAAAAAATTTTTGCAGGGCAATATAAAAGGGAAAAGAACAAGAAGCCGCATATGATGAAATTTAATATGTGATACTTAAGCGGCAAAAAAACATAATAAAAAAGTGTAAAAAATCATTGAAAATCGTTTAATAACACAAAACACCGAAGATAACAAGCAAATGACAAGCCACACAAAGCACAAATTTTACACCATGTTTAACACCTCGGCAAAGACAACAGATTACATATAAGACAGAGAGGCAGGGAGGCAGGCAGGCGGCAGTAAGGCAAGCAGCAGGTTTAGGTGAAGTGCAACGATACGTAAAGAAAAAAAAAGTGAAATGCAAACCGAAAACTGCGCGCTGCTACAGAGAGAGTGCGAAAACATTGAAAATCGGTCAAAAACCAGGGCAAAGAGGAATATAATTTGCGCACAGCACATGCGGCAGGGCAGGGCAAGCAAATCCATACATGTTACACAGTGTACAGTGTACACCGTACAGCATAAACTTCATGCATATGCAACAGAATGTGCAACACACAAGATGCCGCAACCACCACTGCCGACCGACAAGAAAAAGCACAAAAGTGCAACAACACACAAAATAATATCGAGAAGGACTCAAGCAAATTAAAATATGTTGAGGCAGGACCAAGCCAAAATGCAAACCTACATTTTGCCTAACCACAGGCAAAACTGCTGCGAAAGTGTGCATTACAAAAGCATGAAAAGCGAAACTCAGACACACACACATGCGAAGGCAGGGAATGACAACGTCATGGAATTTAAAGGAAGGCAAATTAAGGAAATGTAAATATCCGACTTTTATTCTGATGATATATTCTATATACTCTAATGGATGTTTGATGTACTCATATAAAGATAAATATAATATAGATGAATTTTAAAATATATTGCCAGGAATAAAATAAAATAAAGGATTTATACTAACACAAATATGCCCTTATGGGAATATATATCTAGGTAAAACCTAGTAATATTAAAAAAAATAAATAAATTATACAATATTATTTAGTTAGATTATAAGTAGGATAGTAGGACAAGATCTACTTATATACCATACATTAAAATAACATACTATTGAAAAGCTTTAGAATAATTGAACGATGCAAAGAATCAGAATTCATTATACATAATCTTTCCAGCTTTAATATCAATCTATATCTTTCTCCTAATCTAATCTGATTCTATGAATAACGGCTCAGGCGACCTACTTCACGCAGAATAACAGCATCAATAGCATTCGATTTTAGTCTACATAAATATATTCAATTCAATTGTTGTAACAAAATAGGATTTAATCCTATAATAAAAAAGAAGCCTGGGTTCCATATACAAAACCACATATTTAGAGTGCCAGTACCCCGATTATAGATTGACAACATTTCTTTTCGAAAAAATTCATTAAAAATCACTATCACGTGGTCTACAAAATTTATGTTAAAATCTTAAACAATTGTTAGATAATAATAATATTATAAAAACAAGAAGAGTTTTCAAAAACAATAAGAACGGTTGAGAGATAAGTGATGTGATGTTGAAATGAGTTGAAAGCGGGTCGAACATTATATAAAAAACATAATATATAGAAATCGTAAAACCAGGTGTAGGTTCTAAATTCAAATTCAGGTTATAAAAACCAAAGTTAAAATTGATTTTAGGTTTACGTACAATAAATAAATTATTGCAGATATGTCGATATGTCGACTCTTTTATTTGAGTCCTTAGAATGTATATTGTTATATATATATATATTATATGTATATTGTTATAGATAATATTGTTATAGAACACTGTCGTACATGAAGAATATAAAAGTATGTTACAATGCAATTTTATATTTTTATTCAATATGTAAATATAGTGTTTCTGTGCAATTCTATGTATATATTCGTATTGGGAAATTCTAGGAAAATTTTAAATTTCCAAAAAGGTCTTGCGTGCCTTCTGTGTATGAACTCATTAGAAGCGATTATGCGATGGAGTACTTCGCAACGAAACTTTATTATGAATTTAACTGGTTTATAATCACGACTGTAATTGATGATATAAGACAATTTAATATAGGTTATACCGATAGCCGGTAAGTTTCTATTTAAGCATATTAGTCAAACATATTTGGCAAAATAGTTTCTATTCCGCAGAGTCGCAGATTTTAGCAGCATTTAAAAATTCACTTGTAATTATGGAGACATTTCATAAACGTTTCATAAAAATTATATTAAATATACAATTTTAAAATGAACATTTTACTTTTACATATATATTATCAGTTAAAATATATTATATAAGCAATATATAATAAACTAACTTAACTTATATCAAACTAAAAATATTCTTTAGTTTAGGATTCCAAAGGTTCAGAACCCAATTCTTGATAATTGCAAGACATAAGTAACAGAATCTACGGGATCCAATGTATTTAATCCTATCTTTGAAAGGTGTATCTTTAAGACACTAGTGATAAGTCTTTGTTCAGATCTGTTTCAACTACGAATCTGTTTAGCATTTCTATTGTTGATCCGAACAATTAGGTCAATTTTTTGACCTTTTTAAATGTGCGTTAAGTTTTTGACATTGTACCATGACTCCGATTAATATTTAATATTTTCAAATTCTCAAGATCTCGCAGAAAGACACGATTTTTATGAAAGAAATTAAATGTGGAAACTGTGAACATCATTCCCCTCATGATCACAAGGAATATAATGCATAGTGTTCAACGTTACGTTGCTCTACGTTACAAACTTCTTAACAAACCTAACACACCCTTCAACAGTGTATAGGGT